AAATTAGTTGTTGATGATAGTTCTTGTTTTGAAAAACAAAAGATAAAAGGAAAACATGTTGACAAAGAAATTATTCTATTGGAAAGTTTCTTTGATAATAATATTCAAGGCTCCTATGTACGAAAGTGTGCTTCATGACTTTTGTGTTCTGCTTTAGCATGACATTATCATAAACTGTAAAGCAGTTGCAATTTTTTTTAAATCACATTTTTACAGTTGAGGAAAATGATGCTTAGAGATGTTAAATAACTTCCCTAATATGCCACAGGTGTTAAATGAGGGAGCCTGGATTAGAACTCAGACTTGTCCAACATCAAGCCCAAATTCTTTCTACTATGCCAGACCTCAGTAAACTACAGTCTATGGGCCAAATCTGAACCACCACCTGTTTTTGTAAAAAAGTTTTATTGGAACACAGAGAGATGCTAATCAATGGCTCTGGCTTCTTTCACTCTTCAACAGCAGACTTGAGTAGGTGGGGTAGAAAAATTTGCCAATCTCTGCACTATAGTCTTGTATCTTCACATCGTTATTTTTTACCCTGACTCTTGGTATGAGCTTACATTTCAATTAAATATCAAAACATAATAATGATTTATAGAATTTACTTTGTTAAACATTGATAGACATTGAACATGATTTTAAATATATGTGACACATATATTTTTATGTGTTATCTCAGAGCAAATAACAGAATTAATTTCTGAAAAAATAAAATTATTTTCTTGCCCAAACTCACAACTGACAGTGAAAACAAATAAACATTATTCCCAGTGATAAAACCTATTTATAATCTGGAAAATAGCAACATATTAACCTAATGTTTGAAAGTTACTAAGTTAAAAGTTATACTGAGGTGACAAAACAGTCACAAATATGCATTTGCAAAACTTGGAAAAGTCAGGACAAGTGTCCTGACTTTATATGATAAAGCACACATATCACTGATATAGTTTTCCAAATTCTCCCTAAATAGACATAATTCACACTTCACACACACAAAAAAAAAACAACTTATAATTTTCACCAAGTATATCCTCTCTTATTACACTCCTTATTTAGAAAATATGTTTTAAGATAGAAAAAGAAAGAGAATAATTTCATTGACGATTTGTGATAAGATCAGGTCCATATAAAAAGGAGTTCATGAGCAATGAAAAAAAAAAAAGCTAATGTTAATTTTGATGAAAAGCATTCATAAAAGTCATCCCAAGTATAAATTTTCTTGCAATCTACTTCCATAGTGGTACTGCCTCAGAAACCCAAGAAGGGGTCATTATGAGTCGGATCTGACTTGAAGGCAGTAAGTTAGTTGTTTAGTTAATCTACAATGCAGAAACTAGGTAACTTTCTTTCACCCTAAAGACATAGGGATAACACCAGTATCATCTATGCCATCCAATATTCTTATCCTTCACCTTGCTACTCCTCCAATGGTTACAACTGTGATAACTGCCTCGAGGGAGAAAAGGAGAAAGAGAAGAAAAATGGGTAGTAGCTGAGTGTGTGAGTACATGTATGTCTATTCCAGTTATAACACAGCTCCTTCCTTAAAGAATTTGAAGTAATTTGTAAAATAACACCCAATCTAATGCAGTTCTAGACAAAAGTAAAGAAAAGACAAGGTTTGTGTTTATACTCCAAGATGGGAATTTAAGAACAAATAGCAGTGATAAGCATCAGTCTCCTTATGATTTAGTATGTATCATTTGATAAACAGGTTATATAAAAGTTTTAGAGATATTAGTTGTTGTTTTTATATGCCCTTGAGTAGGACCCAAATCATAGTGACCTCTCCTTGGGTTTCTGAGGCAGTATCACTACAGAAGTAGATTGCCAACCTTCCTTCCAAGGAGTGGCTGGTGGGTTTGAACCGCCAGCCTTCTGGTTAGCAGTCAAGTGCCTTAGGTACTATGCCACCAGAGCTCCTGAGATATTAATAACAGACCTTTAACTACATTCCCAGCCTACTATCTGTCCTTTCTACTTCAGGGCCACAATAGGTTGTTTTTTATACATCCCAGGGTCATACCTAAACCTTTTTTTTAAGTTAGAAAACAAACAATTAGGAAATACTATGGTAATAAAAGAAATCAAGGACCTGTGAATGATTTTGATTCTTAGGAATATTCTTGATTATTTTTTAAAAGACTTTGGATTTTACAAACTGTCCTCTGAAGTGTAGTCACTAATACACATGGGTTGCCATGAGTCAAAATCTAATGAACTGCAACAGGTTTGATTTTTTTATTTTTTATGCAGGGAAACATTCATTTTTTTAAAAGAAAGGAACTAAGAAAGTCCTAAATATTATTGCAAAATTGAATTATCAGGAAAAATAAAAGATTATCTTCATTTTGTACTATTAGCTAAAATACACATATTCCCCTACCCACGCATACCTGTGACTCAGTCCATCATTTTTGCAAGTGATGATGCAAAGATGAATCAAATAAGAAACACCAGCTTTCAGAGTATCAATTATCCTAAACCATCAGTCATGGATAAATACTAAAAAGACAGCTAGGGTTTACCTACCTACATAAAGAACACCCTCTTTTGTCTTTCCTGCTGCTTCTGCCACACCCTGTTTGGTCTTTTCAGCAGCAGCCACAACTCCCTCCTTGGCCTTTGAAAGTCCTTTCATGAATACATCCATGGCTAATGATTCCTTTACACCACACTGCAGAAAATAAAACACACTTAGAGAACTTTTTGGTTGAACAAAACAAAATTAAAACCAGCCAAAGTAAAAACCACTGAGAAATTAAAATAACTCCCAAAAGTGTGAGATTTTTTTAAGTGTATCCTCATTCCAACCACTGAGCCAAAAGACCCTTTTTTCAGCCTTAGCATAGTGCCTAAGGCACTTGACTGCTAACCAGAAGTCTGGCGGTTCAAACCCACTAGCCACTCCTTGGAAGGAAGGTTGGGCAATCTACTTCGGTAGTGATACTGCCTCAGAAACCCAAGGAGGGGTCGCTATGAGTCGGGTCCGACTCGACGGCACATAACAACAACAACAACACTGAAAATTAGCAGCCCTATCCATCTTGCCCAGTAAAAATCTAGCTGCCATCATCAAGACTATTTCTATTGCATTTCATAAGTGAAGTAACATGAAAGGATAAATCCTTTCAAGTTCCTATTATCAGACTAGTGAGTTTAAGTTAGAAGTACGTTTGGAAGAAAAACTACAGGAAAAGAAGAGTTAAAGACATGGATTCAGAGGCATCCTAGAAATGAATGCCAGAAGAGGACTGATAGCTTAATCTTTGTGGAGAAGGGAGGGAAGAGAACTACTTGCTTGGGGTGTGGCTGAACTTCAGGCTACCAGTAGCCCTTTGGCACTGGCTCAAATCTACTGGACCAGCCGCCCCGCCCTGTGCTATCTACCCAGGGCAAGCGCCCTTCACACCCGCGGGAGGCAACCAAACAAGCCCCACCCACGGGGACATTCTCGCTAGAAAGGGCCTAGGGACTCAGCACCCTGAGGAGCCTGACCGTCTGCACCTGTTAACCCTTTAACACCTGTTGACTTGTTTTCCCGGCAGTTCCTTTAATTTTTGCCAAATGCAGCTTGGTTATTTAACAGGGCAGAGTGTGGGAGTTAGGTAAGAGAGAAATAAAAGTTGGAAGTTTATCCATGGAGCATTCTCGCCTTCACCAAAGGAAAAACACATGCGGAGAAGCAGTCTGACTTCTCAGCGTTTGGGGTAGGAATCAGGTGAAAAGCTAAGTCCACTTACTTTCCCCAAGCTCACCTCAAGCACAAGTAACCACCGCCGAGAGGCTTGGCACAGCCTGCTTGGCACCGCCGGTCCTCACCGCGGCACCAATGTTCTCCCACCCCTCCGGGCGTCCTCCTCTCCCACCGTATTTTCTCAAGGAATTCCACCCGTCTGTTTAGCTCCACAGGTACTTACCTGAGCCCCTCAGCTTCTCCAGAATTCTAATTCCTCCCCTTGTTTTTTTATTATTATTTTTATTTTTTAATTTAAGCAAAGAATATTGAAATGGCAACAAGGAGGAAAGGAGCGCACAGGAAGGGCGGAGGCGGCACCAGGAGAGGGAGGGTCTCCAGAGGAGGCTGCTGTCAGCACAACCCAAGGAAGAGAGGCTGGGGACGTGGGTGGAGAACTCGAGAACCTGTCGTCGAATTGCCACTCCCCGTCCCCCGCACCAGCGGATCCAAGAGAAAGAGAGTAGAAGGTCGGCTGGGAAAGCAGGGAGAGCGCGACAAGGATGCTAAGGCAAGGCTCGGTCTCCAGGTTCGCTCTAAGGCCAGCACACACCTCACTCTCAGGCGTCGCGGCTCTAGGTCTCCTGTTCCCTCTCTCCGGCCCCTTTCTGGTAGTCGTAATTTTCCTCCTCCTTCTCTTCTTCCTCAGTCTCCTCTGCTCACCGCCCCCTCAGCTGATTTGTCAGCGCCTCTCCCCGCCCTACTCGGCAGCTTTCCTTGCCGCGTGCACTTCACTCCTTTTCTCGGATGGGGGGTAGGGGTGGGAGGGGGTGTCTTTCCAAATCCAGCCTCCCTCCTTGTCCTAAGAGGCGGGGTGGGGTGTTCGGCGCGTCACCTCAAGTTCAGGGTCACGGGGTAGTCTTGCGGAGCTTGGCTGATGTTTCTCCCTCTTCCCTCTCTCCGCCTTTCGTTCTGGTTCTTCACAAGGACCCTTAGAGCCAACCCCAGGGAGTCAGGGGCTGAGGGGTGGACAACGGAAACCAAAGCCAGTCTTTTGGAGAGCTGTGGGAGACAAGCAGTTTATGAGGGTGCTAATATCCTCACCACCGAGAACGCATTTCTCTCGGATCTCTTAAATTTGATTAACGGTCGCAGGACACATTTAAGGTCATTTTGTTCAAACATCCTCCAGATATTCGTTCGCTCCTGACCTCTTAGGAGCTGGAAAGGGTCCCGCAGATGGAGAGGAGACTACTAAGAAAGAGTTACAGGTTGAGGAGCCAGAAGGAAGCTTGACAAATCCTTTTCACTTCCCACTAGCACCATTTTCTTTTCCACCAATCAGTGGCTGCCAGACGCTGAATTCCCCCCCCCCCC